TAAACTGAAGCAAAAGTATGGCAGAAATGGAACATTAGAGCCGACATGAAAACCGCTAGTAAGAGGAATATACTCATTTCCGCGTGCCTGAATAACAATGCCCGGGTATAAGTGAGACATTTCGGGACACGGGACACATGTCTTATATGCAAAAGGTCTAATACATCCTGTGGCAGCACTTTGTTCAGCTGTTCTACCAAGATATTGAGAATGGCTTAAAGTTGCTACCCAAATTAAGCTATGATCACATCAAGCTTAATTCATATTCTACAATGCGAGTGAATCTGGCAGCTCAGATCCTGAGTGCTACAATGGCAGCTGTTCTAAAGTCATTTGGTCCTCCTGATGCAACAGCAACATCAAAACTGTGTGAGATTATGGATTTTTTCTTTGATTGTGCACATTGGAACATGAGAGAAAAAGGAAGCCATTTCTTGCACCATACACCTCAGTAAACGACCAGAGGTTTACCTGGCTGATGAGTGACTTCCTTGGGTACTTTCGGAACTGGAAAGAGAGTGTGGCTAGACGCCAAGGAAATTACAGCCAGAATGCCAGGAGCAGGATGTTTTTATCTTGGCAAACATATGAAGGCTTGCAAATCACTACACATTCAGTTGTGGAGGCAACGAAGTTTCTACTGAATGAAGGAGTTGAATATGTTTTGACTGAGAGGTTTTGCCAGGATCCACTAGAAGAGTACTTTGGCAACCAGAGAAAGCTGGGAAGACGAAATGACAACCCTGATATGAAGCAGTTTGGTTATAACAACAACACAATCAGAGTACAGCGTGCTGTCTCATGTCAATCTGGCAACACATGTGGAAGGAAAGACAGAGACAGATCATGGGTCAATGTTTCACATGACCCTGTTCCAAAGAAGAAAAAGAAAAAATGATTACATATAATAATTTATTTTTGGTACAAGAATACAGCCAATTTCAAAGACTGTGTAGCTTTACAAGTAATGTCATTGAAGGCATAATGTTTATTGTTGAACTTGGTTTGCTTGATTTGAAATTCAATACAACTGCTGAAAAACTATAGTTTAATCTATTAGTTTGATATCTCTAGTTACCTCAAATTCTATTGTTTTTTTAGCATTCATATCCCTGTATGTAGTATAGTTGCTTGATCATTGATATACGTCTCAATGTATGATGTTCATTCTTTCATTGTGATATATACAAAGATATTATTGGAGTCTTCTACAAGGAAACAAGTGTCACAGTATACATTGTTTTATTTAAGGAATGTGAATTTTACACATTTATAATAAATTAATAATTATTTCATCTTGAAATATCACTAATATTTGAATACAGGACATTAGATAAGTTATTGATCATTAACATTCATGAATAAATTTTTATTGTTATGGTTTGAAGTATAAACACATTTGTGTTCACTCTGTTCGGTAGAAACTTAAAAATGCAACAGGAACTTTAAATATGTACTGGTATATAAAAGCATAATTATTATATGCTGAAGTTGTCATGATAAATAAAATATTGCACAGTGAACAATATTGCAACAGGAACTTTAAATATATTTATATAAAAGCATAGTTTTTATGTGCTGAAGTTGTCATGATAAATAAAATATTACACAGTGAACAATATTGCAACAGGAACTTTGAATATATTTACATAAAAGCATAGTTTTTATGTGCTAAAGTTGTCATGATAAATAAAATATTGCACACTGATTCAGTCTAATTTTGTCTTTCTTGGTCATTTTCTGTGGAGGATCTGCTGATTTCCTTGTGAAGCGCTTTTGATTTTAGCTGTTTTGATTTTATCTTGTGTTTCTGTATTATGTCCTTTGCAAAGGAAAATGAGCGTACTCTGACATATAAAAGTACAATATTGTGAAGAACATCTTTGGCTACATTACTGTCAATCATGAGTTCAGAGTCAGATAGCATGGCACCGTGTGCAGCCACAACTCCTATATCATGAATGGATCTTGATATGACACTTGCAATAGGAATGGTTTTCAAATCAGTATGGGAGGTTGCTTCCCTAAAATAGTGTTCAGTTCTTTCAAAAACTGACTGAGCTTTCCTTGTGATTGTCCACAGACCACCACGATTCAAGGATGCAGTCAACCTCTGATCACTAGCAGTCTGGTCTTCTAATTTCCCAGACTTAAGTAATGAGACTGCCTGCTCACTTTCTGATGACTTCTTTGCATTTACATGTTTGTTATGAAGCTTATGAAGTACATAACCTCCAATGTACTCTAGTCCAGCTTTTTCTTCATCTGACAGTTTAGCAAAAGATGCACGAGTATGATTTTCAACTTTCTCTTTACTTTGTGCTAGCATGCAGTCAGCAACCTTAGTAGATAGTAGTGTAGCAGAATTCCTTGACAACCCTTCAAAATGCTTCACAGCATGCAAAGCAATAGTTGAGTAAAAGGCAGTGTAAAATCTCTCATCTTTCCCAGACTTGATAAGGCGTTTATATAGTTTCTGAATTTCAGATAATTCGGTTGTTATGTCTTGTAGACTATTGTAATTGTAGGACCTTATCTCGTCTCTGATCAGTTGTGGATACACTTTGCTGTCACATATTTTTGCTTTGGCTTTCTCGACAATCCTTGAATAAGCTTCGGTTGATAAATCACTCTCTTGTTTTCCATGGTCTTCCTTTTCGTTATCTTGTCTTGTATTTTTGTGTTTAACTGTTATGTGGCGTTTCAGCCCGCTCTTGCTCTTGCATTTCTTGTGGCAATGTTGACATACAACACTTTGGAGTTGAATCTGTCATCGATGTAAACAGAAATAGTTTTCATTAAATACGAGGTAACGAAGGATACCCACGAAATCTAGTTGTATTATAGTTCTCGATAAAAACATAGCTGCTGATATAAGTAAGTATTGCTGATTTAGTTYGCAAYAACAAAAAAAGCTYCTATRACATCAAGCACAGACCATCGATTGAGCCAGATCWCATGGCTGGTTTGAACAACACCAWAACATATAGTTTTCTATCATATTTTGAGTAGCTACAAAAGATTATAACACTTACTTCATCAGCTGCTTCTTTAAAATGTTCGTCGAGCTCTTCTTCGTTCTCTAAAATGCCTAAAATAGCGTCAAAATAATCTCCGAATAAAAACAAATCTTTCAAGTCCGCCATATTGTTTAGACTACGCGCTTGGCGTGTGCACCGTCAATGTTACGTGACGGTGCAATCCAACCTCAGAAGCGAAACAATAGGCCGGCCCTTTGAAGTTCGCCGGGTTTCATAACCATTCCCCTCAATTAACTATGCTTAGATTGACCAATCAGAGCGCGCCTCCCGAAATGCTGGAAGCTGACCTTCACCTTGGCTTATTTTGATATTGATGACGCCCTTAGAAATGTCTGCGAAATTTAGATAAGTGATCCTAATTCGTATCAGAAAGAATCCTTAAGGTGCTTCGTCTCTCAAAAACGAGACGTTTTCGTAAATCTTCTAACAGGAGCTTGAAAATCGATGATTTACTGTTTGAATCATAAAGACTGAGCTCGATGTCTAGTACTTTTTCGATAAGTTCTTTGATGTCGACGGTAGATTTGTCATATATTCTTATCTTTTCATTTACGACTCCTTCACACGCTCACACGAACATAAAAAGCGGTTAGATTCAGCTCCTACAACTTTCTTATGAGTCCTATCCATATAGATTTGGAAATTATTAATATTTTATACGAGGATTTACGAACTTTGGACGATACGCTTTCACAGGAATTTGAATGTGCGCAGTTGTTTACATTATTTGTTGGCGTTGCTGATTGGTCCGATTAAAACAAAGCGAAAGGAATGTGTGGCTAGTTTGAGCAGACGTTTGTGGGGAGGGAAAGGAACGAGGCGACACTAAAAACGTCTGCACAGCAGGCTACATCAACCTTCGCTGCGCACACTCCATGCACACTCGTAAGATATCATCTCAACTCTCGGAGATAAAATCCGTATCTCCGCGCGGCCATGTAATATCATTGATATTTATATTTTAGACACTGCGCCTGCTCTGGTAACACGGGTTTATTATTATATCAGCAAACAAAGCTTGCCGCATAATTTTATAAGGTTTCAACACTAGATAAATATTAAATTCTGTTGTTGCCTGTATCCAATATAATTGTTCACTTAATGTATTTTCACATTCTCTATCGGCATATGCCATGTGTTTATATCACATTCACGCCAAGACGTTTCACTCAGTTCGTTTAACTCGCGATCATTGGGACGCATTTTCTCATTATCATTGTGCGCTTACGTTGGATGACTGGTGCGAAAGTAGTATAGTTTCACAACAAAAAAGTAAATCAGATTCAAACAGTTAACCAGTACATTTATTATTAGATCACAAGCCATATTGGACATAAGGTAGCCAGCAGTATTCTTAGAGTAGTGTCACTTAGCCAGAACGATAAAAATTACTTATTAAGAGGAAATTGTTTTTCAGTAATGAGCAATAATGACAAAAGCGCCAAAAACTAGACTTTCGTATGAGTTTTGATCCCAATTTTCGTTTTGGGTTAACACTCAAAAAGTTAGAAACTGATGTACTATGATAAAATGCCTGTTTGAAGCGGTATTTTTAATTGTACAAAGATGTTTTGTTGCATTTGTGTTAGAATGTTGCTTTTTCAGGCTTTTTATAGAAAATATATGGGAAATAAGCAAATGAAGGCCTAAACCTCATTTTCGAATAAATTATGTGCTTTGGTTGGGTTAACACTTTGATTCCACTTTCATCGGTCATCTCCACTCCCAAACAAGTTAAACTTTCTGAATAACAAGATTTTAGCCTTGTACAACAGCCTTTCTTCAAGAAAATAGTTTTTGGCGCTTGAATACGAAACGACTGAGTTCTCTCTTAATGTGCAATAGTCAAATAGACACAAAAGAAGACAACGAAATACGATTCGAGTTTTTACATAAGGACAAACGTCAGATACATCAGTGCGGTTCCAAATTTTTTTCATGGTGTTTTAAGCATAAAATGTTTCCTTCTTGTTCTCTTGTTCTACTAACCAACGCAGTTCAAACTAGTAACCACCTGTAATTATCGGAAATAAGATGTACTATAACATCTATTGGTCCACTAACTATTCAATCACAGATTTTGAAAGTAAAAGCAGCGTACTTAGGCATTGCAAACCCGCTATTTTCCATAATCATTATACCTCTCCATTAAATCGGAATGCGGGCTCAGCTCGGTTTAAAATAGTGATAATTAGATCAGTGCAATATATATGTGTTGAACAGGAAAATAAACAAACAGCTATCATAAACTTACCTTTTGTTCGACTCATCTGATTAATGTTAGAATTACCATCCGACTATCTATTTTAATCAGAAAACATGAATATTAAAGATACGCTGAACAGTGCTTTTTGACTTCGACCACCAAGAGAAAACAATTAAGATTATTTCGAATAACGAAATGACTCATGCAATATTGTGATTGGTTCTCAAGCGAAGCGAGAAAGATTCAGCCAAGGCAAACGTTCAAAACTAGAATAACGACCGAATCAGGAAACAGAGGGCATTACCATAGTTTACTAGAGTTAGAAACTTGAAATACAATATACTTTTTTTTACATCGTTTTCTATGCAACAAGCGCTCACTGACTGAGGTTGACATTCAAATATATATTGTCAAAAATTGTGGTTTAGGTTAGTAAGGCTTATATAATTAAAGAGGAAGTCTTGTTTTTGATAGAAGCAGCAATCTGTCACTCTTCCTGCTATGACCACTTCACAATAAAACTTTCGCTTTCCAAGAATATCAGGCTTCATTCTTTACTCTACCTCGTCTGAGCGATAATTCCAATACCGGTTTTATTCTTACTTCTTGTGGGGTATTAGGTAATCAGTCCTAAAAATCCCAGAAGAGAAAATCAATGCAAACTGCATGAACGGTGTGGTTTCAGTCACTGATACCGAGCTTTATCAAAACTAGGCAAATTTTGTTTTTGCTTCGAAAACACAAATTCAAAATATAGGTTAAACAAATTCCCAATCCCCTTAATAAACAATTTTGGCCTGTAACTTGAAGTGTGCAAAGCGAAGAGTTGTCCAATGCTTTTCTGCGACACTGACTAGGGTTAATGATTGTAATACGATGGCGAATTACGTTCTGCTAATGTCTACTATAACTTACATTTTTCTCATCGATCAAAACTGATCAAAACTTGTACATGTTGTTAAAGCAAGTTGACCACCAATATTTGAATATTCTTTAGAAATCAATGCAACATCGCACAGTACTATAGTTAACAGTCAACAAAGCTTGGTAAATGCGCAACCGAGCTGGAAGAGGTTTAGGTGAAGTTAGGCAAGGTGAGCTCCTATTTGTAATTGTAAAATAAGTCCAATACAAATTCGATTCTATTCTCGTTGACTTATGGCTCGCAATTATTCAATATTTAGTAGTTTCGCGAGGCCCTATTTTCAATATGCATTCCACATAAAAACGCACTGTTAAAAGGATATTATAAAGACCGAAATCAATATAGCTAAAATCTATTAGGGAGGAAATATCAACTAGAGTCTTCCTTTGTCTACTACTGATGATGTACGTTGTTTACAGCCAGTAAACAGCAATAAAAAGATTGTATCGATATTAATTAAATATATAGAAAAAGCAGAACCTCTTTAGTTTGATAACTACATGCATTAGATATGATCAAGAGAATATTACTTCATATTCTCTTGATATGATAAAATAATAAGCTCAAGATGAATAGAAACTGCTTAACATGTAAGGAATTCAGTAGGACCTAAAACCGGAAACCTCTTACAGTTTCTGCATATGGCTGATTAGACAAAAAAAGGTGGCCAAGATTCATTTGTTGACATGAAAAGTGAAATAAAAACACATGGACGTAATATAGAGGATGTATTATTTGCTCGCATCAAGTTGACAATAGAGAAAAACGTTTGCGCATGCATCCGTTTTCAGCAGTATGTAAATTTTCGTTTTCCCCCCGAATATAAACAAAATGTCATAGATATATATTTCTGATCAAGACTTTGTATTAACAACTACCACTTCAACTACCAGACGTTTTATTAACAACTACCATAAATTTCAATAAGCGTTTTTAAGTCTATTTGTGAGGAAAGAATGAAAGTTAAATTAGCATATTTTTAATAATAGAACGAATGCATTTTTGAACTAATTTTCAAAAAGAACGAGAGCATGCGCAGACCTTCTTTTTTTCCATAAGTTACTCACTTTAGCTGATAATATCCTTCCCTCCTCTGTAGGATTGTTTCTTGTTGTTGAACCACCTCAGAAGAATTGTACTTCTTCTTTTCATATGTGTCGTTGAAGACCAGTTTAACGAACTCCATGCTTCCTTAAATTCCTTAATCGTAGTTCAAGTTACCTAAACAATTCTTAATTTTCTGACAACATTTGTCTCAAGTAGCTATGCACCCAACGTTGGTTACAGAAAACGGGTCGTTTCCAATAGTTTTACCAATATTGGGATTTAAATGATGCCATGACCAACTACAGAGTTGATTGTTATTAAATAAATAAATGAATGAGTAATTGGATAGTTAAATTTATAATAATATAATAATCAGAAGTTTCTTTTCAAAAACTCTCGCACCTGAAATCCGCAATGTTTAACTAGCTTTTCCATTTCAATTCCAAAGTCCATGAAACAGGGTCCCCTATACCCCCTCGCAAAGTGCATTCACGTAAAATTATTTGGCCAATTCCCGCTTCACGTAAAATTCTGAAATCGCATTCCCATTCACGCAAAAATCGAAGTGATCCCGTTTCACGTAAAATTAATTTTTCGAATCACGGAAAATACACCAAATTTTAATCAGTTAATAGTGAGTTAACATGGACTAACATGGACAGCCAACGATATATAATAATTGTTTGTCGTTAGAATAAAACAAAATATTCCTTACCTTTCTATAACTCGATCACTGCTGGCAGTTAGGAGATGTCAGGAGTGTCCAGGAAAAGTTAATACATTAATATTACTTCATTGTTACTTGGCCAAATAATTTTACGTGAATGAATTTTGCGAGGGGGTATAGGAGACCCCTTAAGTCCTATTTACACGGCACTATTTGCCGCGCGCGACTTGACGTATACGGCAAATTTTGGTACCATTTAC